GTAGGGCTCTCTCTGGTATAATTCATTTCTTCATTGGAGACCAGGATGACATAATTATTTTTGCGTAATGCACCGTGTCGCACAAAAATATATAACAGTATATTTTGCGCAGCACGATAAAATTAAATATAGTAATGATATACGGGAACTGAACCCAGAATACGATTACTTCTAGACCGAACGGCAAAATATAGTAATATACTGAGTACTTAACGGAATGACGTCGATTGTGTGGAGAGTATATTTCAGCGAACTCTTGATTCGCAATTTTATTAATTTGATGTAAGAACTGGTCTAGTTAAAAAGATTCGCATCTCGCTTAAAAAAACCGGCAGCACGACGAATAGCGGAAGAATTCTGCCGAGCCACGAACATTGGTGACTGTAGTCAATAATTATAGGCAAATAAGTTATAGATACGTACTCTACATTGTCGTGTTCACTTCTATTTGCCGAATATAGGCGTACCTTTGGAGAGCCCTCTTATAGACATTCTAACCTTATTTTATAAGTATTAATTATTTTGGGATTATATACTTTTTGGTATAAACATACAATAAAATTTAAAAAAAAAAAGATGTAGGTATTCTGTTTCTTAGCAACCGAATCATAGAATGTCATAAATTCTTACTTTCTATTAAAGATTCTTAATTTTACGATGCGAACACAAATGTTAACAATAAGACAGCGCCTTAAAGGTATTTTCCTCGCCAGAAAGTACACTTCCAAACCTGGCAAGTACCTTATTTTTTTTTTGAGAATTCTTACATACATAATTTTAAACCTTTTTACCTAAATACTTTTGCTTAAGTACTGTCGTAATGGGAAATGTAAGCTATATCTTTTTCTCGTTACGCTAATAAGTATATCAAGATGACTATCTCGAGGACTGCGACAGATTTATATTAAAATAGATAGATAATACAAATAATGAGATTTTTAATTGTGAAAAAGGTGTCATGATAAGGGAAATCTCGCGTTGCGTTTAAATGGAGACTACCACGGACAGATCTGTGGAGATTACAATTTATACCTAACAAATCCTATTCATAAATGAGAGGAGACTCGTGTCAAGGCCTGCAAAGGGTTCTGAGCTGAAATCCTAGGTAATTTGGGCAGAAAAACAAATTTTTGGATATTGAGTTTGGATAATTACTCGGGATAACTGTTTATGGGTACTTCGTTAGCACACTAACGAGCTGCGGATACCCATGTGCTTTTTATACATTTCAAAACAGTGCCACCGAGCGGAATAATTTCTAACGCATTTATTTAAAAAAAAACATCAGATTACATATGGATTCAGCTTACATACATATGGGGGCTACCCCATATCTTCCCGCTTAGGTGTCGTACGTAGGACACTCAATAAGTTTTGAGATATACAAAAAGTATTCTAGATACTATTAATATTTATTTTATATCTTTTCAAAATATTCTTCATCATGCTCTATACAAAGTTCCATTCGCCTAAACTAACTCTGAAAACACTTTTGCCAGTCTTGATCTGACAGGTCGGAAATCGCTTCTTCGTAGGCGGATTCTTCGGCGCTTGAAAACAACTTGCCTTTTATTTTTTCTTTGACTCTTGCGAACAAAAAAAATCACCAGGAGCTAAGTCAGGGCTGTAGGATAGGTGACTGGAGTTTCAACACCAGATTCCTCAATAAATGCTTTTGTTCTATGCGAGGTTATCGTGATGCAGCATGATTCCCCGAAGCTCGGTCTTTGGTCTTCTCTCCCGCACAGCTTGAAAAGCTATGGGTAATGCAACTGTAGTATTATTATATTATTTTTATTACCATTTTTTGCCGACGTTGCGAGGTTTTTGCAGTTTTGTCGGGAACTGTCTTTCTGAGTAGACCCATACCGATGATTGCCTTTTATTTTACGGATCATATTGATAGATCCATGTCTCATCACGATTACGTCTCGTAACGATTTCTGAAACTCGCCTAGATTTTCAAAACGTAGACGCATTTCATGGCACCAATCCACACGAGTCTGTTTTTTGCTTTCGGAAAGCAAACGAGGGATACATCGATAACAAAGCTTCCTCACTCCAAGATATTGATGTAGGATGGTATAAATGCTCCCCAAACTAATGCCTATAATCTTTTCGATGTCCGTATATGTGATTCTTCTCGCACCAACATTTCAGTAGTTCATACATTTTCTGCCGTTACTACAGTTTGCGGGGCCCGTGTTCTTTGGTCATTTTCAAGGTTAATTTTACCCCTTTTGAATTCAGCAAACCACCTTAAATTGTTGCGCATGATGGAGCTGAGTCCCCTAATGCTGATTGTAACCGTTGTAAACTTAATTGTTCGGTTAAACCAAATTTAAAATCATAATAGATCATAGCGCGCAAATGTTCACGGTTAAGACCCATCGTTTTAAATGAAAAGCGCGGGAAGCGTTGCAGGAAAATTAATAGAACTTTGTTTTTTTTTTAATATTGAGCAATTGCCTTATGGAATTATATTTTTAAATAGGTAAATTTGCTTTTTAGAAACTTTTAACACGGGTGCGTAAAACTTATTGAGTGACCTACGTACCTACCGCACTAGAGTATTCTACTAAGTACACAGTTTTTTAGCTCGGCGGTTAGAGCGCCCATTTACCTAAGGACGTGAACACAGAAAGTTAGACTGTCACGCGAATATGTGTTCTTAAAATAGGTCTTGGTTTTTGGTTCACTTGGATAAATACACGGCGGTGCGTCTAATTAAAAATGTCATATTTTTCTAAAATCACCAGTGAGTATAAATACCATACATCTTCTTGTTATTAGTTCTACTTTTATACAAATTCCACACAAATAAACATTTCTATTCTAGATCCAAAAGGCATGGCCCGTTAGGAATAAGTTATTTAATAAATTGCCAATCCATTTTCAGCAATGAGATGTGAACCCCACATGAACGAACTGCCCGTCCCTTGCATTCCGTGGGAGCCGTGGTACACTAATAAGCAAAAAATGTACACTAGGCATCTGTTATTTGGCATTTTCTGGTTAGTAAAGGTACATATTATACATATATTGTAACCTTTTGCTATTCTCGGCGAAGGTCCGATCACTTTTCCAAATGACTCACTAATTTTCATTATTAAAAGTCATAATTGTAAAATGTTTATCGAAACGGAGGTTTGCGAAGAATTTCGTGACTTTAGAAAGCAAAATAGCATTTTAATAATACATATAACAATAAGTATTGATCATGATCTGTGATGATCCCGATGAGAACACCAGGTCCTAGTCATGAAATTATTTTACTATACCTAATTTTCGTACTGTCTATTCTTAATCCTTCTGCAAAATTGTAGAATACTCAGACATCTGGGAGTAGGTTTTTTTATAGAAGAGGGGACAAAGGAGCATGCGGCTCACTTGATTGTAAGTATTAACCGCCGCCCATGTACAACTGCAGCACCAGGTGAAAACTGAATTATAAAAATCCATTACATTCATACTTAAATCCATACTTACTAGTACATAGAGGTCAAGTTAATAAGAGCATGTTAAAACGACGTTTAATATACCTACAAAAGAAAGCAATCACTACAACACTGCAGCACGAGGTTGGCTTGACCGGTGAGAAGCTTAAGGTCGCTTCATACAGGACGGAATCAACACGTGCACGGGACGGACACGGAACGTGGTTGTATGTTAACACGGACGGGAGTTTAATCCATACGCACCGTGACATTGACTCGAAACTAACGTGCTAGTGTTGTGAAAGACGTATGTTTTATTTGAATAATTGGCATTAATTGCTATTGCTTTAGATGATGAAGAATAATCGTCAAGAGTAAAAGTAGATTTTCTGTACATCCTAGGTGTCAGAAAAGAGGACTACGAGGTGAATACCACACTCTCTATAAAGAACATTTGGATGACAAGACTCAACTTTATGTATTTTCGTATGACGACGTAAATAAAAAATAAAATGTATACCGTAGAGGCGGGTCACTTTGACCCTAGGGCATTACTTTGGCCCAAATCGAGAAAATGATTTAACTGCCCGCTGTGTCACGACCACACAATCGTACGTCGTAGTTCCTTTAGTAACTAATAGATGGCGATATAGACGCGAACTTGCGGAACTATTTTATCGACTCGGGTGCACGTCGCTATATGTTCGCGCCGTTTAAACTTTTGATAGTAAAACCGGCGTATTTTCTGCTGCAAACTTTGCAGTCTGAAGCTGTATTTTGGTAAGTTTTCAAATTGGATTGTTATTTATTTTCTTGGGCATCTATGTAGGAGTATGGCACTTATTTTTTAAAGACGATTTACTTATGTGTTCGGTTTTAATGACAGATCTAGAAAATCGGTATACATTGACCACCTTTTCGGGTAACTTTGGGCCTGGGGAGCTAAAGTAACCCTGCAAAGTTTATTAGTGGAGAACTTTACATTTTTGATCAATTTGTTACAGAATCAAAACACAGAGCGACATTCCTGATGCCATCCGTGTACAGACGAAAGCCTGGCAGTCGTCGATATGTCGACTACGACAGCATTCGACCTAAAAATGATAATCAAAAATTACCTTGAATCCCAGGGAAGAGTTGTAAAAATTTTAAGAACAACATTCCTGGTAAAGACTAGTTGGCTTCTTTTTTTTCACGACATCAATCTCTTTCACGGCGACTTGCAAACAATATCAAAAGAGTCCGAGCTCAAGTGTCGGAAGATGTCATTTCCAATTTTTTAGAATCGACAAAGAACTAGAAAGCGTTCCATCCGAAAACATATTCAACTACGATGAAAGCAACCTTTGTGATGACCCAGGAAAAAAGACCATATTATGCAGAAGACTAACAAAATATCCGGAAACAATAGTAAACGCTACAAAAGTTAATGTCATGTTTTGTGGCAACGCCGCTGGGGAAACAGTTCCACCGTTTATCGTTTATAAGTCGGATCATCCCTGATCGACTTGGACTGAAAATGGTCCCGGAGGCGCTCGATATAATAGGACAAAGAGCGGATGGATGGACAGCGCAACTTTTGAAGACTGGTTCCTCAATCATCTTATACCAGTTCTTAAGAAGAAAAATGGTAGAAAAGTGGTGATTGGAGACAACCTTGCTTCACACATTAATAAAAGAGTTTTGAACGAGTGTGAGAAGCATAATATTAGTTTTATTTATTTGCCACCCAACGGTACACATATACTTCAGCCACTAGACGTCGCATATTTTCGACCTTTGAAGTGCAAGTGGCGGCAAGTATTGCTTCAATGGAACAGTCAATTGGGTAGGAAACTGTCGACTCCACCTAAGGTTCAGTTTCCACGATTATTAAAAACTGCTTTGGATTCTTTGACAGAGACCAAGGCGAATTTGATTGCTGGTTTCAGAAAGACAGGCATATAACCCATTGACAAAGAGGAGCCTTTAGCTAGATTACCCAAACAAGATCGAATAATAAAGGCAGGTCTTATAGGGAACTCTTTTATGCATAAATTGGTGCAGTACCGAGCTGAGGCGTGCCCAGAACAGAAAACAATTAGGAAAAAGAAACTTAATGTACCACCTGGAAAATCAATCTGTGCCACTGACCTTACAGAAGCAGGTCCATCGGATTTACAGCAGGCTAAAACTATAAAGGAAAAGAAAAGGGCAACAAAATGAAGACAATGCAACGTCTCTTCATCTTCAAGCTGCAGTGACAGGACCATTAGTCTAGCTTCTTCCACTGAAGACCACATAATGCCTTATGACTCTGAGGATGATGTTCTTCTGGCCAACTATGTGAGTCAGATTAGTCATACTGATGCACCTGCAATTCGACATTCGCCTGATCTTCAGCAGGAGAGTGAAGTAGAAGAGCAATGTGGCTCTCCTGTTCTTCAAGTTACAGATGTAGAGCAACAGCTGTTTGATGCTTTTAAAGACTTCACTCCCCTTCAATCCAATGAGAAGATTGTCGAGACAAAAACTTGCGGGTCTCGCCCGCACGTCAAATCGAAAAGTTACCGCAGGATACGTTAGAGCCACCAGGTTTTCGATGAGGTTCACTTGATCTAGATGTTGTTGTAGGCGACCATGTTCTAGTAACTCACGCAAATACCCAGGTCAAGTCTTAGCAGTTTCCGAGGTAGGAGCCTTTATAACGTGCATGAAATAAGGTAAGACGTACTGGCGGTGGCCCACGATAAAAGATGAACAACTTTATGGTTGGGACCACATAGTGTGTAAGATTGGACCTCCAAAATTGGAGAAAAAGGGTTGTTTCTCGGTTCCAGAAATGAACGTGTAATAAGAACTAAGAGAGAAACTAAGAGAATAAAATTAGATTACCTATGCTACTAGTAAACGTTGATTCTCAAAAACTAAGACTGAAATTAATATAGACCTAGAAGTAAAATATATGTTTGCAAATGTTACCTAATTAACCTAAGATAATATTATTGTTGTATTTCTGTAAGTTTGCTACTGAGTTAGATATTGTTGAGAAATTTACTTACTGTAAACCTTTTTGAAATAAATAATATTGATATTACATCGTGTTTTAATTTATTTCGAACTTTTTTCTAACATTAAATCTCTCTTGGATATTCAATCTTTCCGCCCTTGATGGTTTCTTTGGCCAATAATAGCTGCAAGTGCAATTTTTCAGCGATAAAGTTCATGGGTTAAATTACCCCTTTCCTAAGAACAACTTTGGCCCAAACTTTAACTTAAAAAAAAAACAAGTTATTGTTATCATATTTCTAAAATACACTTCGCATCTTGTTTAGTACATCCTCGAGCTTCTTATAACATATAAAAACACTAAAAGGACAATACCAATACAAACCACAGATCAAATTCGTAAAATAACTGAAAAAACAGCTAAAGTAACCCGCCTTTACGGTACTAACCGTTAGCAGTGAATGATTTTGTATCCAAAATGGTGTGCAAGATTATACAAACATGGATATGTTCACATACATTTAATTAGTTTTTCGTCGTCCATTTTGTCCGGTACGACATGCGCTTCACTGCGTAGCCAACGGAGCGACTGTGCATAGTGCATCCGCAGCGGAACCACGGACGGGACGTAGCACGCCACGGGCGGGACGGGGTAAATATCGTCGCCGACGATATTTTCCCGTACCGTTCATGCCACGACCCCGTCCCGTCCATGCATCCGTAACGTATGCATTATCAGTATCACGTACGTTTTCTATGAAACAATATTTAAAAAATTTCACGTCCCGCTCCGTCCGGGATAAAACACGTTACGTATGTGGCGACCTTTATTGCTGCTGTTTCGTATAGCAAGTGACAAGAACCGGTGACCTCTTACTGATGACGGGGCATCTCATCTTAGTCCACAAGGTTGCCAACGCAGTCCTCGATTTAGATATAAAATGCAGAAGCATTTAAATAATAGGACCATCTATGAACCAAAGTGACCACTTGTCATCAGGTGAACAATATCAGTGGTGGATTATGCTTAAGGCAAAATAGGCACGTGCCTAGGCTAGAGGAGTATGATTAAAAAGGGCCGCGCGCGGAAGTTTTTTAACGAAAAACTAATTCTTCTATTTGATTACTCCTACATCGTCTTTACACTCTCATCACGTTTTTCATTCAAGCCCACATGTCAAGGGTACTCGTGTCTTAATTATTTTGCAACTATTAAACCATATTATTAATTATAATATAGTTTATTTGCATTATGGGTAGTTATAATTTATAATATACGTCCATTAACATAAGAGGCAAAACAGAAAATCAGGACAGACGGAGTGCTGTTTCAAGTGACACTTTAACCATGCTCAACTTACTGTAGGAACACGCACTCACTCACACATATTATGTATGTTAAAGGCCGATTTACACTTCGACAAGTACAGTAGCGAATTAACTTGCGAACCTAGCGAGTTAAGTAGAAAATCTTGTTTGAACAGCAATTAGTGAGTTAAGTAGCAAGTTAACAATTAAGTTGAACACTATAACCGGCCGGTCTATTTTTTGGCGAGTTAAGGGGATATAGTAAGTCAGCTCAAATTCTAATTTCGCCCCCACTTCCCCGCACGTCGTATGCTATGTACCGACATGTTTGTAATCACTAATACTGTAAGTAGATAGGTCGTTAGACACTTATTTCATTAGGTTTATCATATTTATACCTGTTTCTTAACGCCAAGCCAGTCGCTTCTTATTTTTATTACGGTTATTTCTCATTTTAATTTTACGTCGTCCTGTTGCGTAATGTGTATTCTGATCGTAAGCGACAGAACCTATCCCTTCAAAGGCCGAAGCGAAACTGACTGGGTGGCAGGAATCACGCTTCAAGAGGCCGATAGTTTAGGTAATTTCTTTTTACAGTGAAAATAATGGTATTTTAAAAAAAAAGTAAATAACAATAGCACTGCTTTATAGTTAGTTCAGTTATTATGCAAAGTTTCATGATCTTATTTAAAGTATTTTATGAATAACAGCGGTTTATTCTTTATTTTGGAGGTAACTTTGGATTTTTTTTCTATCGAGAAAATTTTACGGAATCGTGTTGTCGTCTAACATAATCCTTTACATTAATCCTCAACTTTACCATATATTTATTTCAAAATTAATGCTGCAATATTTTCGGCATAACGGAGGATCTTGCTAAGCCATTTGAGGTTATATTTCCCCTTAAGTTCGAAGTGTTGCTCTCCCGCACGTTTTTGCCACCCGCAACTAAGCTCACCGCTGGTGTGAACCAGTGAGTTTAGTACAGTGCGTAAGTTGACAGGATGCATCGTGTTCGCGTTGGACCCCCAAAATATAAAATTGTACTTTTTTAACTAAACTCGGCAAGAAGACATTTGAACGCTACTGTCCACTTAACCGTTTACTATAAACTGCCCTGTAACTCAACTCGCTACTGTATTTGTCGAAGTGTAAATCGGCTATAAAATATTTTCAGCCTACAACAAGGTTTTAGGTGCATATGTGTGCGTCCAGTAGTGGACTTTTAGGGACTGTTAAAGTAATAATTAAGGACGTGTGCGTTAGTGCTCGTCAAGAATTTGAGCATGATTTCAGCGTCATTTGAAATGTGCGAAGCTCTGTCTCTCTTTTTTTTTTGTTAAGCCTAACTGAAACCCAGCAGAGGGTGCACTGCTGCTTGCCACTCAGTAAGACTCCTAGGCAGGAAAAACTAGACAATTAGTAAAATAGTTTTATCAAATCCCTAAAAGGTTAAGTTTTCCATTGAAGCATCACAATAAACTAATGGTTTCCACCAGGTGGCTGTTCTCCTTAGGTATGGCTTTGTACACGGATAGCATCTATCTAAACTGGGCACCGCCGAAGCAACCTGGGCCGCCCAGCGACATGGAAGAAGAATGCGAAGAACTCGACGATTAGTCACAGAGGCAATGTTACCAATTAAAGAATTAATAAATATTTAAGAGTACGTTTTATTGAAAAGTATGCCTCATTCTATCATTAAGTCTTCATTATTGTCATCAGCTCCCTTCAAAATCCACTGCTGGATGAGCCTCTCCTTTTGTACCCATTCCCCTTTGAACTTACCTTTGTCGTCACTCGTGCTCTCTCTATTTTCTGGATGTTAGCGCTGTTACTCTATACGACTCTTAACAGCTTCATCTGACTCAGGGCTCGCGTCCTGCAAGGCCGCGAGTGTCACTCGTGCCAGGCGCACTGATGGTCGTAGTTCAGACGTATCGCATATTTACCAGTCTGGGTATTTCATATATTATGTAGTAGGGCGTAGTGAAATGGGCGGGGACCCCCAACGTCTCGTAATGTAACCTCCGAGGAGGACGATGACTCGCTAGTGGTCTCGAGCCCCGTATAGCACTACGAGGGTGCTGGGCGCAGTAAGGACTGCCCCCGGAACGTGCGAGTTCCGAACGGCGATACCGGGGCCCCTCATATACGTTGATGGTGACACCGTGGGGTTTTAGCCTGTAGTATTTCGGCATAACCTATCTGTTGCCTCGCAACAAAGTAATCCATGAGGATTTCCCCATGATATGAAATATGAGATTATGAATAATGAGATTGGTTATACCAATCCTAACAGAAATCTCATGTTTTTTTGATAGATATTGGTACAGTCGCTTATTACGATACCCAAGGGGCGAAATTTGGTGATGAATTATTTTATGGTGCAACCACACCGCGTAAGCCACCGACGTGTCCTAAAATTTTACATTTTAAAATATAAATTGGCTAAGTAACTAAGTGAAAACCTTTATAAGCATTCCCAATATGTGTATCCAGTGGCGAAGTTTCCATTAAAGCCGAAAAGCCGGGCTTGCCTGATTAAACCTGGATCAATCAATAATATCAACTAATAAAATAACTCGTTAAATGTTTCAAGCTATTTCAAATTTCCCGCGCACTCCACTGTTCGACACATGTCGACCGATGACCTCGTATTGATCTTAGTATATAGGCGTAACTATGGCGATACTGCTGCTGTCATAAAAAATGAGTATTAATAGAGCTAATAGTTGTCTCCCTCGCTCGCGTGGGCTTTTTACGGGGCTTTCGAGAAGACGATCGCTCTCTTTCTAACCTATGACAAAATATTCTATAATGAAATATAACTACGATTGTATATATATTTTATAAGCGGAGGCGCGCGGGCAATACGTTTGCAAGTTCATTCACGTTTCAGTATACAAAGGTACTCTGTGATTTCACGTTTCAATGTTTATTTACTCTGTGTGCTTATCTGCGATTTAATATTATGAGTTCAAAATTTATGTTTTTTTAAAGATTTTTAATGAAAATGGAGGATAATAGTGTTCCTTGTGATGAAGTGTGTTAAAGTGATAATCGGAGAGGAAATCTTTAAACTTTGTTGAGATAATACACAAGGTTAAGAGTGTATTTCAGACTTCATCAATTATCGCAATTAAAAACAGTTATTGGTACAATTAAAACGTTCACCAACATTTTACGTGGACGTATTCAAATCTTTCCATAAGAAAGCGAGACGATTCCACTTATCTTATCTCTTATCCATTAGAATGTAAATAATT